AAGTTCATTTGTATTTAAATTGGATATTTATGCAAATAAAATTATTTCAAATCTTACTACAAATGATATTTGGCCATCTCAAAGTTTTATTCCACATGCTTTAGATGTTGCTGATACATGGGCAGTTGTGGCTGGTTATGGATACGAATATCTTCTCGTTCGAAGTAAGAATATATGTACGATTTCAGATGATACATATATTGATTTTTACATATAGGTGAATATCGAGAACTTTATCAAGCAGTTGGATGTTTGATTGATCTTTCTCAATTAATAAATGCTTCTTGTGTATCTATTACATCTGAAACGTATTATTTAGTTCCATCAAATATTGTTTCATATAATGAACTTTATGAATTATCAGTAGCTATTCGTGGTCAAAAAGTACTCATTGGAATATCTCGTCTTTCAACAGTTGTAATTCTTTATAATTCTGGATCATTTTTAAATGTTACTCAAACACATTTATTATCTTTTATTTCTTCTCCTTCAATTGGTCGTGTTGTTGATTGGGCAGATAATACAACAATAGCTATTTTAGTTGAAAATGAATATGAAACAAGTTGGTCAACAACACAAATCTACTTTTATGATGAAAATTTAGTAACACTGACTTCTCCAATCTTTACTTTTCCTAATAATCAACAAATTATAGGTACTCGTTTATTACGTCCATCAATCGCTCGTTTTATGATAACTGTTGAAGGTAATATGGCAATGATTACTGGTAATGACGATGTTTTAATTATTCCTCTCGCTTCTACGGGTTATGTTTCGACATGAATCGATACAACAAAACGTACTTTTCTATTTTATTAAACACCAACAATTTGTATAGGTGGAACATATAAAAATTATTCAAGTTTAGGTCCTTGTAGCATTTGTCCTTCAGGTACTCGAAATCTTAGTATATCTTCTATTGGAATTTCTCAATGTATATCATGTTCATCAAATTTATCTTGTCCATTAGCATCATTATCTGAAACCAATTTGACTATGGTATCTTCATATAGTCAAGCAGTTGCTTATCCTGAAACGACAGATGCAACTGATATTGAAGATTTTCTTATTAAAACTACCTTTCAAATTGATACAAAACAACATTGTTTACTTATTTCTCCTCTTTTCTGGACATTTATAGTTGGTGGTTTATGTCTTTTATATTTGACATTTATACTTTTAACTCATCTATTCAATTGTAAATCATGTATAAAATGTCATAAAAAAGCTAAGATAGCTTTTAAACATACGGATATTATTAATGAAGGTGAAATGTGGATTGGTGGTTTAGCAACATTAGCTATTATTGTTCTTGCTGTATTTGCTTGTTGGTTTTCTGCATCATTTCTTCAACGTTATCCAATTGAAGATATTTCTCAACCAGCTACATTTGCATGTGATGAATCATTGATTAATGCACAATTTTCAACAGGTCTTAAACTTCTTGCTATTCCAAAATCAATCGAAGCTCAACCGATTTTTAATTTACTCGATAAACAAACTTTTAATTTAACAGTTGAATTAATAAATACAGGTTTTACATGTTCTTCTATTACTGCACAAGAAAATCTTCTTACTTCGAAATATGTTGCTTTAAGAATTGGTTGTAATCGATCAATAGAAACAGCTATAACATCAGTGACATTTACATTACCAAAACATTTAACAACAGTACAAGTAAATATATATTATGCTATTTTTGATCATAGTTCAATGGCAAATATTAAATTTATTAATTCACGTGTTTCTTATGTAAAATTTCGAAGAACTTTTGCACCAGATGCAATTATGGGAGATTTAGTATTTTATCGAAATAAGTTCACTGGGTCAATGCTTGCTCGAACATTATTCATAGGTAGTAATGATTGGAGAGAAGAAGTTGATTTAACAAATAATGATTTAATTGATAGTCATAATAATCGAGGAGAATTACTTCAATGGAGTTCTGTTGCAAAAAATATATTAATTCTTTTAAATACACGTTTTCCAGATGGTTCATTTCACCAGATCGATTCAACAGAGTTAATCTATGATAATGGAGCTGAATTAGGAGTAAATATTCTTTAGATATATGGCAAAAATTTTGTTATTTTTTTACTTTATAGTGTCGATCCAATATAACTGAACAAATATGGAAACAAGGATCTGATCATTCAACAATGAAATTATCTTTTATAGAAAATAAACCTGGAATATCAGTTTGATCTAAAATTGAAAAATGTTATTTTCGTGCTGATTTATTAAATATTTCATCTTTAATTTAATTAATCGATGTACATTTATTTTCTGTATTGATTTATAATAAACAAGCTGGATATAATATATTGACATATATGGGATGTTCAAAAGAATATTCAAATAGAGTATGGATTAAATTAGTTTTTTTGAAAAATAATTATCTTTGGATTGATTCACATGAAAGTAAAAAATTTCGAAGAAAAAAAAGGTATCTTAAATAAATATCTCTTTTAGTGTTTTCCAGTCAAGTAAAACCACGAACTATGTCTTCAATAACAGGAGAAATACCACATCATACTCGATTTATTCGAATTGAACTTCATACAAATATTAGTGATGCATCAACATTCTGTGTTATTCATAATATTAAACTAAATATATTCTATGCAAAACATTAATATTAATTCGAAGATAGTCGAAAGTTATCTCGAGGATGTAATCGATTTAAAAAAAATACAAATTCTATTATTTTTCATTATATATAACTATTTCAAATTCAACCTCTGTAAACTCCAGTGAGCTTATTGATTTACTTCTATATTAACATAAATCTTTTTTCTCTTGTATAAGAGCTATTTAATAAAAAAGTTAATTTGATTATATATTTATTAAATAACAAAATCAGTATAATAAACTTTTTTCTATCAATCGTTTTGTTTTTCTTCATTGGAAGTTCTATCAGCAACATCTGGAGAAGTTTCTGCTCTAATATCTACAATTAAATCATTATTTTGTTCAAAAAGACAATAAAATGATATTGCTAATGATCAATATAAACTTATCTAAACGATCATGTATATTTAATCGATTATTATATGGAAGAATATCAACATAATGCGTCTTCTATACAAACAAATCTGCATTTATTAAATTTTTTCTTCAGATCTTGAAAGAAATGAAGAGTGTATCATTTTTGATCGAATATTTATTTTTTCGTTCTAACGATCGATAGAAAAATAGTTATGTATAATTTGTACTAATGTGAAGACTTATTAAGATTATACTCTAGCAACAAAAAAATTGTAAATATCGAGGATTTAATAATTAAATATGTACGTTAGAATACGATATTGGAATAAGTTTACTGTTTACCCATATGTATATGGAAGAACAAAAGAAGATGACGTCATATATAGAAAGATTTTTTTTCTTTGTTTGGAAGTTTATATTTTTATCACGTATTTGATAAGTTCTTTATGATTAAATTGAACTCATGGCCAGCAGTGCTCATACAAAGAACAGCATTCGTAATGTTGGAACAAATAAATATAACATCGTCACAGGTCGTTTAGCTAGTACTGGTGCTAACACCTGTGTCATTTTCATTATTCTTTTTAAAGAAAATAACAATATTTTTATTGAAGATCGTAATTCGTTTCCAGATAGACTGGATAAGATCAGTATGAAAAAATGCTTAACATATATGGCTTCACATATTGATAAATTAAACACAGAAAAAGCAACTATATCGTAAGTACTATTGTACATTTTATTCGAAACGAAGGAATTTCGATCCATCATACTCGAATATTTTAATAAAAGAGCTTAAAAGTAAATTTTATTTCTTTAAGTTACGATTGAAACTTGCTGGAACAATTAAGAAATCAATAATTAGTTAATAATTGATTAATCATATTGAAACGAGTACATTTTGAAATAAAAATAAAGAATATTTTATCTTCAATAAATGAAGTTGAAAGAAGAAAACTAATCTTGATTATTTTTTCATTATATATTTTGATAATGTAGTTCTGTGTACATTTTTGGTGGTATAAAAACAACATCTAACAGAAATACTATACAGAGTACAATTGAACAGTTAATTAAGGAAAACGATGGTCATGATTCATCCACATATAGCAATTTAATTAACAATATTAAATGGATGAATGCAATGATTAATTTAGGAACTGATTCACCAGGAATAACAGGTGAATGTAATATTAATATTATAATGAATCATTATGATAATATCAATCAAATAATACTTGCACAATATTGTTCAAAATTTTCAGATGGTTTAACTGAATTATTAATTGGAGTAATGGTACACTGTAAAAAAAAAAGGGTATTTTACGAAACCAAAAAAGGATCGGACCGCGGGCACACGTTCCGAACCTTCATTGGTTTCGCAAAAAAAAGGTTTCGTATGAAACTTCTTCTTGATGAATGGGAAAAATGGTTTCGTACACAAGGTTCAGTACGAAACCTTTACCGCGAAATATTCAAAAGGTTTCGTACGCAAGGTTCAGTACGAAACCTTCACAGGAAAAAGCCAAAAAGGTTTCGTATAAAAGGTTCAGTACGAAACCTTTCCAAAATGATGTTCAAAAGGTTTCGTACAAAATGATTTGCACTAAACCTTGTTCTAATGGTTCAGCTAGTCAGAAATTTCATATAAACATCTAGTACTGCAATGGTATGAATAACATGTTGAATATTTCTCAAAATATGACTATGGTATATATATCAACTCAATCGAATGTAAGTGAAGATAGACTATCGAGTAATTTTGCATAAGATCTAGAAAATTACTCGATAGTCTATCTTTACTTACATACGATTGAGTTGATATATATACCATAGTCATATTTTGAGAAATATTCATCATGTTATCCATACCATGGCCAGTTCCAGATAACTGAATACCCACCGATGACTTTCATATTCGAATCAAACTATAATATAGAAATAAATAAATATATGTATTATATAAGATCGAACTTACCTCATTATTTTCGTAGTTGGATCAGCCTATAAGGAAAAAAAGAAATTTATTAAGTTCTATATGATTGAACTTACCTAAAATTCCATGTATGGATCGATCTAGAATAAACAAATATAGAAATTAATCAAATTCAATAAGATAAAACTTATCCAAAGTTCCATATATGGAACAACCTAAAACCAAAATATAGAGATTCACTTGTTTTTTATAAAGACAAACTCACTTAAAATATCATTTATGAATCAACCTATTAACAAAACATGTTTATTTGATTCTATAAAATAAACGGCACCCAATACATGATTTGTGCAATAGGTATTGATCTGGAATAAACAAAAAAAAAGATTATTAATTTCGATAATATCGGACTCACCTAAAAATTCATTCATGGATCAAGTACAACGAAAAAATAAGCAGGCTCATTTTGTTAGGTATAAGCTCAACGTGCATGAAAAAACATATGGTTGAAACTAGGGGTGGCACTTTAACTTTAACTTTTCATTAAAGTTAAGTGTTTGTGTCATGCCGTACTGTAGGGGTACCCTTTGGTCCTCAAGTCCTACTTTTGAAAAAAAATTTTTTTTATACAGAAACGGACTTTTTGAGAAAAAATAAATTTTTTTGGGAACACCCAAAATTTTG